TAATAACACCTTACATCACAAACCACACCTCTGCTTTGGTCCATCGACCAATCAAAAAGCTCTCAAATGAACCGGAAGTGACCCTTCATAAAAAGGTTGGCACTTCCTAGTTCAAGGAGAAGAGTTCACAGAGAGTTCACAGAAGAGTTCAGGAGTTTTTGGAATTCAGATGCAGAGAGTTTGGGAGTTCCTGAATGCAGAACGCGGGCATTCAGGATGCTGCTAAACCAATCAAGCTGAACCAGAGACGATTTTGGGAATTATAACTTCTGTTTGGATAACCTCACACGACTCCCAAGGTTTTTATCTGTTCTCACGGAGACGCTGAAAAGAGTCAAAAGAAGAGCTCTACACCGACGCTGAAGCTATCGTCTGCAAGGTAAAAGTTCTATTTCGACCAAGCGTACCGTTGGCCCAAGCTGATTTCAATGGAGCGTGCTGTTCTGGTTAAAACAGACAAATTCCCTCACACATCTCTCTCAGATAAACTTCATCTTTCCATCTTTAACTCTCCTATCTGCTAGAAAATTAATCCAGATGTTTTCAGAAATGTCTGTGGTGTAGCAACGGAAAATCATGGCCGTATGGTTTTCCTGGTTGTAAAGCTGATTAATTATGTCGTTATTTTCCAATTCTTGCCAATTAATGTAAATGTGTGATGTGTTAAACTTGATTCTGTTAATAAATGACCCACTGTCGTGGTGAGTCAAAGATAATTAACGTCTCACGTCCACATTTTTATCTAGGTTCAATGCACGTATGTTACACAGTCCAGAAAAATGAAGAACCCGTTCAATGTATGAATATATCTCAGGATATGTCATACTACATGAACACCAGATCTTTCATCTCAAAAGGTTTTGAAAATGTCTCAATAAAAGTACAGTTTTCCATCCAATTCTGCTTTATAGCTGAAAAGTTGATGGGTCACAAGGAACATGTAGTAGTTTCAAGAACTGATTTGATCCTAAATTACTTCATCTCCAGAAACTGTTGGTCTTGTGGAGTCGTTGGAAGCTATGTCAGACGACATCATAGGAACATGACAAGATTCCAAAGGCTTCACAGACATCTTCTATCTTTATCCAAAGTATTTTTGGACACCATGGACAGGTCACAAGTTCATCACAGCGATTGTTCTCATTAAAAACATACTTACCAGTTTATTCAGACATTACTGAGGTTCGTGCAATCATAAATTTGAAGATGAAGAGCTGGCGCCCTCGATCGAGCCAGTTTTAACTAATTTACCTGCTTAACTCTAAGTGAGCGTATCATTTGCAGATGTACCATCCTCAGCTCTGCTTGCTACCCCAGACACAAAAGACTTATGAATATTTAGAAGCGTTTCACAGAACAAGATCTCTCTCACCACACCATCTGCGATGGCGAGAAAGAGTAGACGGATGGAAAAAGAGCAGACTTCACCACCACCATCTCTTTCACTGACACTCAAGCTTTTAGACAAGATTGTTGGTCACACACAAATGTGTCCCTTTGTTTGTGGCTGAGTAAACACAGCTCGTGTCTTTTTGAATGTTCAAGAATGATCACAAAAATAAACAATCCATTTTTATAACAATAATTATGGTCAATTGTTATGGTGTTTATATTAAATTGCTAAGTTTATGCTACATACCATGTAATGGATAGGTAAAGTGCAACTTACAAACAAAACATGCATCTCTGCAGATCATTTTTTACACATTGGCTGCTCATTTTTCTGATGCTACTTTAACATTGTCATCTGAACTTCTTCACCCCGAATCAACGCCTATATTGCCTAATTGCTAGTGTAGTTGTGATTCATATCAGGGGCGATTCTAGGATCTGACCTTTTGGGGTGCTTAGCCCCCAGTACTGACAATGACTCTTGGCTTGAACAACGCACCCCATGGTGGGACTTGTGAAAAATGCAAAAGCTTACAGCACCTGGTATTCCCAGGTGGTCCCCCATCTAAATACTAACCAGATACAACCCTGCTTAGCTTCAGAGATCAGGGTGGTATGGCCGTAAACAAGGAGCTGAGTCACAAATAGGTATTTTAAAGGATCATAGCAAACAAAGACTAAACTTGTGCAACCAGAAGTTACAACATATATCTACATACAAAACACACAAAACAAAGCACAACTAGTTTTATTAACCTTTAATTTAACTATTAAGCATGCAATGTAATTATGACCAAAATAGAGGATTTACTTGCAGGTACCTTCGTACAGATGAACATGTAAATGGTAAATGGACTGCACTTATACAGAACCTTTCTATCTTATCAAGACACTCAAAGCTCTTTACAACAATCGGTGCCTCATTTACCCATTCATACAGCACTCTACTAGATCTCAACAAATATAATTGAACAAATCATTCTAAAGAGACTAATCAGAGCTTTATCACATTCATACACTGATGGGACACACATCAGAGGCGATGAGGGGTTCAGTGTCTTGCCCAGAGACACTTCAGCATGTGACTGCTGGTGGAGTCGAACTCTCAACACTTGCATTGGAGGACGACTGCTCTAACCACTCAGCCACAGCCGCCCAAGCACAACCACCATGAAAATGTGGTACTTCCTGTTTATAACTGTTGTATTGAGCTACTCATGAGGTCGACCACCGGTCTTTGTCATCTTTTACATTTTTCCAGACTTCGTTTAGGTTCTGGAAATGTAACAAACTGTATTCCACCCTCTAAGCGCTCAGCGTAACGATGTCTGAATTACCGTACATGTTCTCCACTAACAACGTTTAACCATTTTTTCCTGATGAGTTTTCATGAAACCTCTCTGACCGTAAAGCAAAACCCTGACAATGTTGTCGGAGGAAAAGGAGGTGCAGCTCCTGCAGGTAAGGGACGTTTCAATTGGGGGCAAATTGTGATTGCTGATTGGCCAGTTGCTGACAAGCCTACTGGATTGACTGACAGGTGGCGTCGAGGATCTGACTCGTGCAAAAAAAATCAGATTTTACCGTTTTAAGATTGTTACCATTTATTCCATATTTATTCAATATTTTGGTGAATCTAAGGTTTGAGAACTGAGTTTCCTTACAAAATCCTAATGATGGTTTCTTCATTTTTCAGGGGTGCTGAGTTAAAATGTAGGGGTGCTTGAACCCCCCCCCCAAAAAAAAAAAAAAAAAGAGGCAAAAATTGCCACTGATGCATGTTAAGTGGGATACATTTGCAAAAATACTCAGAACAGAGTTGCGTTGTTAAACACAGACATGTGCTCCTCTGTAGTAAGAATAAGACCAGTACACTTATACGTGGGTTTTTGTCTTCCTGTGTGGTCCCAAAATCTTTGTACACAATAATTATTAAATTTAAACTATAAGTGCCCTGACATCAGTGCACATGCTTTGCTGACAGAAGCCGCCTCGTGTTTCAAGGGACAAAATACATAATAAGTACTACGGTAGATTAAAGGCAGGCACATGCCCCGGCCTGTCTGACACAGTCTCTCCTGTCTGTCGCCAACCTGCTGCCACTGTTACCACCACCATCTGTACGACAAAGTCACCAATCTCTCAGCTTTTATCTACCAGAGAATAAAGGAAACCCATGTCACTGTGTTCTTGGCATTAAAACAAAGTTCTGCTCCAGCGTTTCTGCTGCTCTGGCGATTCAGTCAAACCTATCGATGTGTGCTGATCTCCAGAGTCAATATAGACTGTTACTGTTATAACTGTTACACTGACTACTCTCTGGAAGCCTAGAGCAAAGTCAACTATGGGAAATCAATACGTCATGCTCACTGACAATGACTTTATTCATTTTCTGTAAAGAAATGTGCCACGGCCATAATAATAAGTCCAATAAGTCACTGCACTTTTCTGGTCTAAGATGTTCTCTGCTGCGTCACAAGTTAGCATCAAATAAGCAGGATCACTTGGAGTAGAAGTACATTATCATTTTTAGCTAAATTGTCAGATATTCTATCTGAAACTTTATCTGTTACATGGTTACATTAGAAAAAGTTTTACAATAATCATTCAAATAATCTATACTTCTGTGTTTTATCTGTGCTAAAATACCAAAAAGGTGAAAATTAACGTAAGAAATCTGGACATCACCTTTTCAAGCTTCCATAAGTGTTATTACTGGATTTAAAGTCTAACATATTTGGAGTTAAATTTTATTTAAAACTGATAAAATATTAATAAACAAAAGAGCTTTATGATTAAATGAGAATGAGGATTTTGACAGAATGTCTATCAAGTAGTGATACTTGAATTATTTAATTTTAATTCAATTCAGTTTATTTATATATCGCCAAGTCACAACAGAAATCATCTCAGGACACTGAACAGAACAATCATAAATATATAAAAAAGTACGTTAATAACATTTGTTGCTCTTGCATATTCCAGAACAACGTGGCCGATTCACGCTCGTCTTTGATCCGTGAAGTTCTCGGCTGCTGTATGTGTACTTACACAAATCACGTCAATGTACAAACAGTGTTGGTGTTTAAGTGAAACCACAAGAAACACAGAAAAAGGATTTGCTAACCACTTTGGCCTCCTGTTGCAATTCCATAAGAAAAGGAATGCAGCAGACAGAAAGAAGAAAGACAGAGGGGGGTGAAAGGGAAGAAAACAAAAGGAGAAAGACATTGCAAATGGCATTAGGTCCTGCTAGTGCTGCCACAAACAGAAACAGAAAACTCAGTTTTGTCAGTGTCTGCAGAAAGACCTCCATGTTGATAAAAAAAGTCAGCTTTATCCTCTATTTATGAGTAAGCAAAAGAGAATGAGTTCCCCCCAGTGGTGAAATGGGACAAATGCACGTTTTAAAGCACAGAAGAGAAACTCTGAAGCTGTTACATCAAATTTAGCTGAGTTAGATCAACAGCAAGGTGAAGTAGATGTTGATACTGCAGCACACATTAGTTGGCATTTTAGCCACTCAGTCACCAGCATGTGTCAGTGAGTACAAGTGTGAGTGTGTTTGTGGGTCTGTGGAGTGGAAAAGGGTCTCATAATCAACAAACGTGCTTAATTACCTTATTTGAGCGAAGAGACACTCGTCCTCCACACCTAGCACAAAATTTTGTTTGGCAATATGAACAGAGGTGACCACAGCCGTCGGCAAACTTGGTTTTGTGGCATATTCCACACGTTGGGGCATCGATCTTCTGGTCCTGAGCCGGCTTAGTCTCCTCCCCCATCTTCTTAACTTGGTTCTTGTACGATTCAAACTGCTGGTGTAACTTCCTGCAGGTGGATGGACAAAGGTGGAGATTAGGACATGAAAGCAGCAGTTGTTGTCTCTGAAAGGAAAGGTTGTGCATAATTAATATCATTATAAGGGCAGAAATAGATAGACTTTAAAATACACTCAGAACAAAGATTATTAATTATGCTGTTCAGATACTGCCTACACAAAGTCCATGATTTAATTAAAATAAAGAGTTTTTATAACAACTCCTGTAAACCTTCAAACTGTAATTTATAGTTACATTTAGGCAGTTTATTTTACAACCACCAGTTATTAAAGATTTCCCATTCAACAGGATCACTTGTGACAGATGAGGATGCCAACGGTTGGATGGGCAGGTTTATCATAATATGTTGTTTTTTTTATTTGGACTAAATTGGAGTTTTGTTTGAGTATCTCATTATAAGTTTGTCTAGTTGTGAATCATTTCAGGTGATCAGTCAGAGGTCAATATTCTCTGATTCTTCTTTTCATTACATAAAACACATCTGGGCCTGGACTGTCAGCGGGCCAGGCTATTCCTGCACAGCCCTGCTGCGGTTAGCAGACAAATATTTAACAATGTCCATCTAAACAACCATGAACCTCCTGAGAAAAGACATCACCTTGGTCATTTTTCCTTCTTTCGGCCACCACAGCGGACCTTCTGCCTCTAGCCCACTCCATCCTTTGTATCGTGTCCCTCCAACTTTCTGCAGTTCCCCCTTCACTATATCCATGATCTATGTTTCCTCCTAATATTCAACAGCCGTTGTCCAATATATCCACTATCCCTCCTCAGCATGTCCAAACCTTCTCACCATTGTCCAACAAAGTTAAGTCAGGTCATGCAAGTGTAGATGAACATATGCATGATATATTCATAAATTAAACGGATTCTTTCATTTTTCTGGACTGTATAATGTCGTGCATTGAATTTAATAAAATGTATCGTGAGACGTTAATTTTCTTTGACCCATCAAATGAATGCGTCATTTATTTACAGAATCAAAGTTTAACATCACACATTTACATTAATTTGGCAAAATGATTTCAACAACAACATGGCTAATTTTGCAAGCTGTACAATTTGATTAACCATACGGCGATGGTTGAAAACCTCAAGCTTCACCACAGACATTTCTGGAAAAATCTGGAATGATTTCTAGCAGGATAGAAGAATTTTAAAGATGGAAAGATGAAGTTTAGAGGGAGGGAGATGGTGTGCGTGAGTGAAAAGTGTTGAACAGAACGGCACCCTCCATTCGAACCCAGCTTTCCTCAGTACGCTCGGTAGTAAACTCGACTCGTTACCTCTCTGACGATGAATCAGTGGAAACGGAGCTCCAGTTAAGCTACCGGTCCAGCGTCTCCGTAGGATGGCAGAGAACCGTCCGGAGTGGTGGCGGGACTTCATCAACAACAGTTCACCTCACGAGTGGACTTCACATGAGTGGAGTCCGTCAGAAGTTCCACTCAGATGTGGAAGATTGTATAATTCCCACAAGACTCGAAGAGCTGCGGATCATGGCTGGACTTCTGTTCTCCCAAACGACTGGAGCTGCAACTCTCCACCCGACTGGTTTGAACTAGGAAGTACCGACCTTTAAAGAGCTCTACTTCCGGTTCATTTGGGAGGTTCCTGATTGGTCAATATCGACCAGACAGGGGTGTGTTTTTGTGACGTAAGAGGTCACTAGGAGTCAGAAAACCAGAAAGTGTTTTGGAACAGATTGAAAATGTTTTTAGAGACAGAGAGAGAAATGTCTGGACGAGTTGGGTGAAAACAGGTGCCAGCTTCTCTACGTCTGAGAGGATTTAAAAACATGACAGTTCGTTCCAACAACTTGCTTGCGTTTGACTCCAACCTTGGACCAACTTACACTGCTCATTCAAAGACAGAAAATCAGAAAATGCATAATTACTCTGTAACAGACCTTAACATGATTTCTACTTTGCATGAGGATTAAAATCATTATTACTGTTTCACAGTTGAATTAAAAATGATTAGTTCACTTCAACATTTAAAAATGGTTTGAACTAACACAATTTGATTATCAAACATTTGTAAAATAGTAATGATAATAGAAAGTAGTGTTCTTTCACTTGATTAATTCAAGAAAGAAAGTCTCAGGATGGGTCAACCTGTATTTCTGGATTCAAATCAATGAAATGACAGTTTCTGTCCCATAAGGTCCTTAAGGTCAGGATTTGACCTCAGGCTTAGTTCACTACACAAGACTCAATGTTTCAACACAAAGAAACCAACCAGAGGACCTGACTTAACTTTGTTGGATTTTACTACCTGGATTACTGAGCATGAACTTTGATCGTCTCACCATTGCTTTAATAACTTTGTCTCAACCTGAGCTGATCATCTAATGAACTTGTGTCTAATCCTGTCCGTTTAGCACACAGTGACTCTAATATCACGTTTATCACATCACATGTGCCGCAGTATGGCAGCCCTGATGAGAGCTCTGCTTGGAGTCGCTCTTTTTTTGTTCCTGTTGCTTTTGTTCTGACTTGTTGAGCCTCCACTGTACACCCACATTACGGGTATGACCGCGACACACATTTGGAGTTTTGTGTGTCGCTGCCTTGCCATCCTGCCATTGTGGTTCAGTTCCCGGCTCCCTTCCAGTCTCAGGCTCAGGCTCTGGCCTGTCATGGCGGCCGTCTCCATGATCCTTCATCTGCCTGCACAGACCGAACTCTATCATCATGCTGCTAACAGGACCACACTGCTAACAGTATCATTATGCTAATAAGATAATGTTGCTAACAGTAACAGTGTTTTTATGACACTATTTTTATTTTTGCTTTTTATTGCTGTATATTGTTGTCTGTCTAAATCATGTCTTCAGTGATGTACTTTGTTCTGATTCACTTGCACCGTTGTATTCTACCATGTTGTTTACTATATTTCTATTGCATCTTGTAGATGTTGTATTTCTTTTTCACTTGTGGTGCTTTGTTTTGTAAATTGTTGCATGCTTTAGTATTTCTTCTGTGGGTTTTTTTGTTTGTTTGTTTATTTTCTGATGAGTCGAGACGGTTCTTCTTGTCCTGAGCATTTCATTGCATTGTTGACCTTGTGTTAACCTGCATATGACAAATAAACTGTAAACTAATAAAAGTATGTTTCCTAAATGAACCTGCAGACAGTATAAGAACCTGGTGTGTTTTTACCTCAAAGCCTGTTCAAACGTGAAAACTTTTAACTTGTTCTGTCAATGTGTTGCTGAAAATTTGAGATAAATTTTGGACATAATGAGTTTAGATTTGCCAAGACTTCTTTGTGTCTGTTTTTGTTTTTTAATACCTTGCTCTGTATGACAGGTTTTTGTGATTTTGAACCAGTAGATGTTACTCTAATACACATTGCTAACACACTCATCTGCCACAAGTTTAATTTATGACTGTAGAATTTATAAGAGCATTGCCCCTTATGTGTCTTACAAACCTTTTCATTATTTCCTGTTTCTGAGTGATATACTGGCATCTAATTTTAGGTTTATTATTTCTGCACACAGCAAAAGTAGTCTGTGGATTTAATTTTATTTTTTCCCCTTGTCTTAAAATCACATTCTCACAACAAGTGTGCAGTTTTTTGGCATGAAAAACAGACGTTATGACATAAGGCGTACCAAAGATGAGCTCCCCTACTGATATTGGACCGTCTAAAACTCAGGAGGTTCGATATCAGATTTTGAGAACTTGACTTAATTCTCCTTTCTCAGGTTTCCATGCATTTATTTAATGAATCATTTGCTCCTGCGTTTCTACATCTGGACACTCGTCAGGTGATACAGGGAGTGCCTTGAAGCATATTGTTAGACAATAATAACACAAATGCAATCAAGTATTGATCTATATTACTTAAAAGTGATCACTGATGGTCACAAGGAGAACACCTGACCTCAGTGTATTGTCTTTGCGTTACTGTTTGTGTCCTATAGATGGCTGCTTCCTTAAGTGCTATGATGTTTTACGTTAGACTCTTAACTCCTGAGTTTTGGGGAGACTAAACAAAAATGGCTCCTCACATGCATTTTGTATGACACGTGTCAAACGAGCATCTCCTTGGAAACTAAACACTGGGCTGACTTCATAATATGGCGATTAGAACTGGTTTCGCCCCACATATCCCCTGCAACATTCATTAGCTCTTATGAATTATTAAGCAGGGCTATCCTTTTACCACATACAGCGCTGCATTTGAGATAAACATGCATCCTTTTCCCACAGCCAGACTTTTAAAGCCCAAATGTAAGGGTGACACATCACCTGGAGGGTTTGTCTGTGCAATCAGGTCATCTGGTACCACTGACATGCTCCACAGTTTTTCAACAAACACATTAAAGGGCTAATTGTGTCCCAGTCATTGTGTTCACCGAGCAGAGATTAGTTGTGCGTGTAACTTTGTTTAAAAGATTTAAACTAAAGTGCATTTAATGACAAAAAACTGATATCAGAGCATGAAAGAACAGCAGCATCCAACATTTACCTAGGTTAGGTTTATTTGTCATATGCAGGTCAACACAAGGTCATCAATGCATTGAAATGCTCAGAACAAGACCGTCTCGATTCCCCCCAAAAAAATTTTTAAAATAAATAAATAAAATAAAACAAGAAATACAAAAGCATGCAACAAAAATACGAAATCAAAGCACCAAAAGTGAAAAAGAAATGCATCTACAGCAGAATGGTCATTAGCAGAGTGGTTCTGTTAGCAGTGAGGTTCTTTTAGCAGCATGGTTCTGTTAGCAGTGATGTTCTTTTAGCAGCACGGTTCTGTTAGCAGTGAGGTTCTTTTAGCTGCACGGTTCTGTT